TAAAAGTAATAACACTGTTGAGTAGTCAGGGTTTCAATAAACAGTTAATATCAATTTGTTAGTCATACGCCTCACTTCGTGTTAACCAAGAAGCGCTATAGAGGCCTGCACATTTCATGCTTACTCTTACACACATACGCCCGTACACATATACACAGCACACATAAACACATACACATAACAGACAAAAAATGAGAGTAGAGTAGAGCACAATGTGAACTCAAATGGAATAATAATGATAATAATAACAACAACAACAAAAAAGCAGAGATAATAATTGTCGTGTTTAGATCGATAGAAAAAGACAAAAAGGGCAGGTAGACAGATAGGCAGGTAGGTAGGTAGCTGTTTAACAATAAAAGTGTAAATTTTTCTACTAAACTAACATCATTCCAATGTCTTTACAGGAATGAACTAGAATAATATTAAATAATGAATAAATATTCTTTTTTATTAAGTCATAATATGTACTACTAATGAGGCGATTGAAATTACTTAAGTGCTTCAATTTACCAATGTGCTAGTGAATGAATGACTGACTGATTGGTTTCAACATAGAACTTTGCATTTATGTGCAGCAGTGCGAGTCGCCACACTCTCCTCGTGTAGCACACAAAACAAGAGAAGAAAGTAAAAAGTAACACAAAATAGAGACAGTAAAGAAAGATATGAGGCAAAAAGAATAGTAATATCGAAAAACAAATATAGTTTTATTGGGTATTATAAGTCACGAGGAGTACATGCATCTCCACCGTCCATTGACAACGAGGATTTTGAGCCATCCCACCAATTATCTCCAGCCATTGGTTTTTATCATCCCGAGGACACCAAACAGACAGCAAGCTACACATTCCTAAGTGACTGGCTGGTTTAAACTAACTGTTGTGGATTCCATTGACTGATGAATCCATGTTTTCGTTTGACCACCACTAACTCTCTCTCTTTTCCAGCCTGACCTTATGTCGGCTAGCATTGACCGTCGAGGAAGGTGATGGCTAGACTAGGCATGCGTAACACATGTCCTAACTATCTCAGTCGATGTAGCTTCACAGCCTCCTCGATTGATTTCCCCTTCCACTTACCTAGCGCTCGACTGAAGCCTAACCTCAATATCGCTCACCCTGTTCTACCACTTCAAAAGGGAGATAGGATGCAGACATCTATAATCAAAGGAAGCTAGCCAGCCTTTTCGTGTCTTCAACTTTTAATGGCCATGTTTTACTCACAGCCATAAAGGAGGACGGAACAGACTGCGGAGCAGCCAGTTGGATATCACGTCTAAGGCAGAGATGGAGTAAACTGGAATATGCGAAACTAACCTTCTGTATCCGGGTTGGCTGATGCAACTTCCCAAATAAATGAAGTGTTCAACACGCTACACCCTATTTCGAAGCTAGGAGTCAGTTTAGTCCAGTCCTGTAGTATCATCTCACATTTGGCAGGAGTGAATCGCATGTCAAACATTCGTAGATTGCAGCTCAAGATGTTCAGAAGACTGTATTCTATTTTGTCAGCGTCTTCACCTAGAAGGAATGACCAAAATCCTTTGAAATATTTAAGAATTTAGGGGAAATAAATGCCGGTGGTTCAGTGGTTGAATGTTCGCCAAACAGCCATGAAAGTGGTCCAGGGTTCGATTCCCCACCGACTTCCTCCTAGACACATCGCTTACATCTCCAGCCCGCAGTGAGATCGGAAAAGTTTGAAGGTTGCGTGTGAGGTTAACAAATCTACCTCGTAAAAACAAACTAAAGCTACCGAATCTCCAAGACTTCAAACCTGCAATCCTGTGTTCCACTCACAACACAAGGAATAAAAAAGTACTACAAAAGAAGCAGTATATAATAGGTGGAAAGTGAGTAAAAAAAATAAAAACGCAGTGTAAGTGAGAGTCAAAAGAATTTAGAGAAACAGGTCAATCAGAAAACTGAAATTTTTACTCTAATTACTCAGAATAAACCTTTAACGACTCAGAATATGAGTCAGATTTATTATGTGAAGGTAGGTAATACCACCCATTTGTCTGAGCCGAAGTTTTTTCTTTCATTTGTGTTCTGGATGGAACATAAGGCTTTGAGCCTGAGCTTTGATGTTTCAATAGTGGGGGCTGGGCGGAGGTTGTTAGACCCCCATTCGACCTTTCCTCTTTACCTGACTGTCAGCTAAGAAAGCTCTGGGATTGCGTCGGCCAGGGACTCTACGATATTCCAACAAACGCACAATCTGAAGTAGGTGGAATGGAATTCGAGCTTGAAACCCATGGGCTTTAAGTCAACAGCTTATGCTGATAAGTTACTTCCCCATCAGAAAAGTGAGTGCTTTATTCTAACAGATATATAAAAAATAAATCCATATGTACAGTTACATGCAGCTTTTAGCTATATCGAAAGGGGTCTAACAGTAATAAAAGCTCACAGATTTTCGTAGATAACACCGATAAACGAAAACAGAAAATCTACAGATGGAGACTATATGTATCCAAGTGATTAAGTAGTTGACTTTCATCCAATGGGCTTCAGATTAAACTGCCGCCCCATTTACTTCAGCCTGGATAGATGGGTAGCATTATCAGCCCTGTTACAAAAAGTGTGGCTAATAGTTTAGTACAGCTACATAAACTTCAAAGCTCTAATCTGAAGCCCTAAATTCTACTCGGAATGTAAAGGAATAAAAATAAATATACATGGCGCACAAATATGGATCGACACGATGAGTGAACAATAGTCATGAAGGAAAACGTGTTTCATCCTACTCCACAATTTCTCCAATAATAAATAAATAAAAACAACTCAGTTTTTAAAGGCCTTGAGCAAACCGAAATTTTAATCTTTATACAAACCTGCAGATCGTTAATCTAAGCACTAAGCTTTCAATAAGTGGATTGCCGTCTGAAGCTCCCTGCAATACCTACTACATGGGGCTTTGGACATCTACATAGTACCATTGATAAATATAACTTAGTTCCATGATAAATGTATAGAAATGACTTCTAAGTTACAATTTTAAACAGTTACTATTTTCAGTAGTCTTGTACAAACGCGAGGAGGATGGGTTTTTCAGAAATAAAAAACCAATCAACTGCAATCACATCCACTTGGCAATAAACCAGACCTATTATGTGTAAGGGCTAGTGATACTATCTGCCTACCCAAACTTCCGTAGATGAAACGAAGGTTTCGAACCTGTGACCCACTGGTCGAAAGTCGAGCACCAAGATCAATGAACCACAACTCCATGAAATAAAAGATGTCACATAAAAAATAAACAGAGCAATATTGGCTTAGTACGTGCAAAAAAAAACAACTTGTTGAATTAGATACATCTTTGCACATAAGATTCTAAATCACGCTCATAAGAGAACGATTTTCCGTGATAATGTTCTTTATATATCTAACCAACTAATAAAACCATTCAACTAAAGGATGTGAGCCAAAAATATTGCCATATAGTCATCGGAAGTGAAACAGTTTAAGTACCGAAAATATACCAACAAAAAATAGTATAACAATACAAGATTAAAATTAAAATAAAACATAAAGATAAGGAAATGCATGCATTCCTTCTTGAGTACATTAAAGTCAAACTATTGTAACTTTGCAATGCTTTCAGTAGTAGAAGAAACAGGAAACCAATGTCACCCTAAGTACTCCTTGCAATCATCCTCTATACTTGATAATATCTTCAGCAACTGAGTGGAATAACAAGTCAGATCTCAAAAGGAATTCTGATAGACCCGCTAACATGAGCCCAGCTTTCGTCAAGAGTTGATCAACTTCCCTCTTTTGACAAACGACCTCTACATTGACCAAAGCAAAAAACGCAGTCTGATCTTACACAGGCTCTCATGGTACTGCTACAGAAATAGCAGCAGTACAACAGATATAGAAATCGTCAAACATGCTGAGTTGCTAAACATCCAAATTTTAACAGTCAGAAGTGATTCAAATTGGTTTGTTAGATCCTGGCCTTTGATATGCGTATAAAATGATCGTACCTAAATATAAAAAGTCTCCGGGTTTTTTTTCTTCAGATTTACTTGAGGGGCACAGAATAACTACATGTTACTGTCAGTCTTTTATAGGTATATTGGGTTATGATGGTACAAAGCTCATATTAAGAATACACATTTTTAAGTTGATTAAGTGTGATTTGAGTAATCTACATGCTGTTACACAGGAAGAGGATATCGTCTGCATATATACGGGCAGTAGGTTCACACAATTATCACTTACATTCCAAGGTACCCCCAAAATATGTCATAAGTGGTAAAGATTAAAAGGAAAACTGGAATTCAAAAGTCTAACCTAACGCAATAATGCTCCAATATAGTTTTAATAGCTGGCTGTAGGCTAACAATCTACGAGATTGGCTTGAAGTGTTCAACAGACTGAAAACCTCAGAGACAATTCAAATACCAGATCTGTTCAACAAATCTACAGGTATAATGATTTCTGATCTCAGCTTCACTAAGTTTGTGATTTGACCATTTCTAATGTAACGAACTAGTAACAAACTAATATTCCACTAATTGTCATACAGACAGCATAGGCAGTTTTAAAAGATGGGCCCAAGAGTCTTACTATGAAATAAAAGAATATAACTTTTGATACATGGACAATCACACTGGTACAGTCTTGTCACTACGACTGGAAATCGTCAAAGATAGGTTTCCTGGGATGATACAGTTAAAGATTTCAAACTTCTTTTCAGAACGCCGCCTATTCGGCTGACGTATAAACTTTTGAAGGAAAAACCTTCCTTTAGTCTGAAGTGAAAAAAGTGCAATGTGAAGGGACACTAAAACGGTCACAAAATATACTAAAAGATATTTAGAACCGTCGTATATTTCTTCGCCATTTATTATGAATTGGTGATAAGAATAATTATAATCTATCTTCTAATCGACTACATTAATACGGATAAATTAAACATTTAAATATGATAAACTTTGCAGGTCAAAATGAAGCAAAATAGACGGCGATCAATAAGTACAATCTTACCACTTGTAACTGTTCCCGTAAATTTTTCTCTTTCATTTCCAAGTCATCCGTAGATAAATACTATAAGAAAGTTAAAAGAGATTGGCAAAATGTTACATCATTCTACGGATAAAAATTTCCAGACATAAGCTGAAGAATTCTTAAATTTCAAGTGAGTTCTACGCAGTTATCTCACAACATACAACACACAGCACTTAAGGAGATATGAACAGGAAAGTCCTATGGAATAATCTAACATAGAGTCCGGTTTACGTTTGCTTAAGTGTGAATACCTTATGTATAATATTCAAGGCAACTGGATAAAACCGTGACGCCAATCCATGTGAACTGTCAGGATGGATATTCGACAACACAGTTAAACAATGAAACGATGTGAAACACATATAACCATCTTTGAAATATAGAAGAATCGCACTAACCACTAATTAATCGAGTGCAAGCTGCTTACACAATGGAGACCAGTTATCGAATTTTGCCGTATGGTTCTGAAGTGAGCAATGTCGAAAATGAATGCCTTTTTAAGGGATTCTACTTTGATATGACTTTCTATTTGTCAACAATTAGAATCACAAGCACCTGAACTTATACTAAACAATTTAAACTTGTATTTGACAACAAAAGAGTGAAAATGATGTCACAACACTTAGTAAGAATTGAAACATCAGTCTATATATAATATGTTCTTTGTTATTCTGACTTTAGATGTCAAAAACTATAATCCTTTGTCAGTAATCTCTCTGAATATGATGTGATCTGTCAGGAGGAACTGAAACATGGAGTTCACTTATCTGATAATAGAGTGCAGTCTGATACTAATCAGAAGCTTAAACTACGGCTCACTTAACTGGTAATTTCTAACCAACATCAATTTCATTCATGTAAAATCAATAATAAGAGTCGTAGAAAATGTAAGCAAGTATGGTGAATCCAAGAGGCCTGAAGTGACGTGGTTACAGGCGGTAGGAGTACGAGGAGGAATTATACCAATTAATCTCCTAAATGTCTAGATGTTAACTGTAAGGGAATTCAATATTAGTAAAGTGGTTCAAAATCTTTCGTTCATATTTCTAAATAATTTAAGAGGACATAAGGATCATCTATTGACATACATGAACTAAGATCAATAATTAGGATGAGTTAACAGTACCTACGAAGTTGAATATTTCCCTGAAGTGCCCCTAGACGAATTTCAGATGTCTGAGGACTTCTCCTTAAAGTATTTCGAAAAAACTTTGTGCGAAATACTGTGAAGTTACATGGACAAGTCACCAACTAAACCAATCACCAGTTTAAGCTGGTTACTTCATAAAATAAAGTGGGAATTATTGTTATTGCCACAGTGTGTATTTGTATTACACCATGATGTCTGGAACTGCACTGTTAACAATGTATGATAAAACTTTAATGAAGATCTATGACTGGAACTAATGCTTGTAGTGACTTTAATCTAAGTCATAGGTAGAATTATTGAAGTGCTCATTATCATAGGTTTTCATCATTAAACAGCATAACATTAAAATACACTGACAGTTCACCGACTTAGAGCTGAGAATACTTAGCAAAAATTTAGATCTGTAGTTACATATGATATGTAATCTAGGTGAAGGAAGACTAATAATTATATTTAGAGAAATCCTTGCTGTGTTAAAAAAAGTCGTTTGATGCCAAAAAAAACTAAGAGCCGATTGGCTCTTAAGTTAGGTTACAGTATCAACAGCAATATTGCCCAAGTACAAGTACACTTCAAGAGCGTATCCAAAGTGACACTTTAGTGCATAACAAAGATTCAACATTAACAATCATTAATGAAGAAATCCCTATCGGTTAACAATAGAAAAAAATACTAGTTGAACTACTCACCTGCATATCATTCAGTTCAGCAAGTCTCAATGCATCTGCTGTACATACGTGTTGTTTCTCAAGATCTTGGAGTTTCCTTTAACTAATTAGTTTGAAAAAAATGTGATCATACGACTCAGTGATAGCAGCTCGCTTTTCAGCATTATCTTTGGCAAATTCAACGTGCTTCAAATGAAGTATTGTCTAAAAGCGCTACATGGAATAGTAATCTCACACTTACCTCATCAAGGCGGCTTTGGACCTCCAATTGTTCAGCTCGTAGCCTTGACAATTCAGCTTCTAATTCGTCTATTCTGGAGTCTTGAGAATCATTCTTGTTACTCAAATTTTCTAACTTTCTAGAATTTTCGGAAATCATGATTAAGGCTTACCTAGTGTGCTGACTGTGACTGTTTGTTTGATCAGAAAGCCTACTGAGTGCATTTTTTAACCTGGCGTTTTGCGATTCACATTTTTGTTTCAAAAGCATTTCTTTAGATACTAGTTCATAGTGTTCAGCATTAACCTTAGATGCTCAATAAAAGGTGAATGAAATCATACTTTGTGAGTATTCTCGATCACCTTTTTTATCTCTATTTCTAAGTCTTCAATTCTGTTCCTGAGTTCATCTTCTTCTTCTCTAAACTCATTTAACCGCCTTTTCAAAACTTCCATCGTAAATCATAATTTTTGAAAGATCACCTTGGGCTGTATAGGTCAATCACTGAATTGTATAAACAACACCGTAATCAAGTGCTGGATATTGAGTTCCCTCTCTATTTGTGCGGTAACTGCATAGCACGCAGTATTTAGGAAATATAAATGTGAAATTAAGTACAATTCAATTCATCATACAGTTCGCTTCATTTGATTAACTCGGATCATATTGTTCCTTATAATACCCATCTCCACAGAAACACAATTTCTTTTTGACAGCTATCTTAGACGGCAATAATGTTACTTTGTTGAATAATTGGTTTCTGTAGCTGATTTTTCTCCGTAAGAAATTAAATTCCACCTTCATTTTCTTCAATCTGGGTTTGAGCACCTTTTTGAGATAACCCTTCAAAGATATTCCGGACCGACCCTTAATAAACAATAAACCAAAGTAAAATTACCTCTCGTCTGTCAAAGTGATAAGGTTGGTCTTTGATTTCAATGACTAACTTAGCGCACACACTTCGTACTTTTCCCAATACTTGTGCCCACTTGAGTCTCAGACAAGCCACCTGTATATATAGTACTAGATGATATCTCACGTTGTAATGACAGAAGACAAGAGCTAGGCAACAGATCGCTTATTGAGAAAATCAACAGATATTTATGAATTTTTATGTAGATTATTGTCAGTGGAGAACCAGAGTCTTCCGATTGGTCGTTTTCTTGCTGAATGTTATTCTGTACTGCTTGTGACTGTTCCTTATGAAGTTAGGCCATATATCTGCGAATTGTATTTGCAGACATTACGTCTGCTGCGAGCGGTTGGCGAGTTTCTCAAAGGTAAGCTTGGATATTATTTTTTTAATGACCCCGATTCGGGACGTAAACACGGACGCAATTTGCTATCTAAAATTTTCGGCTTGAAGCTAGCTCTCACCACAAGATGCGTGGAGTACGTAACAATGTGATTGTACACTTTTTGGTTATTTGTAGAAATGAGAGATATGGTACATGATTGTTGTTTAAAACGCTTCTTGTTGTAATACTGCCTCTACAGCTACTTGGGAGGCATCTGTGCACAAAATAAGCGATGCTTCGGGGTTGATATGGGATAGCACAGTGACTTTGGATAAGGCGTCTTTTGCGTTGCAAAAAGATTCGTGCGCTTGAGCTGACCACTGAAACTTTTTAGGATGATTTTTAAGGAGGTCGGTTAACGGCTGGACGATGGAGGCACACGAAGGAATGAAACGCCCATAGAAATTAAACATCCCCAAAAAACGTCTGACCTTCTTGAGTGAATCTGACTCCAGATCAGAAGGCTGCGTGTTCGAATCACGTCGGGCTCACCAAATTAATTTGTAGGGGACTAATATTAGAGTTCACTAATACTACAAATATGAGAAATGTAATCCAAGTCAATGAAATGTTAAATAAGAATATATTACCAAAGATGCAATGACGAGTTATATCAACAAAAAGGATCACTTGGATATAATGTTTAAGTCCTCTGCTACAAATTATTTATATAACCCACGGGTACGTTAATTGTTTGGGTTGCGTCTGCTGTAGCTGCGGTGTTCCGGTTGAAGAAACGTCTTCGGTTGAGAGCAGTAGACTCCTACAATAAATCCGAAGTATACAACACGGTGAGAGTTGAGCAGGTAAGCAGAAATAACCAGGGAGAAGGCGAAATCTCCAACAGCAGAGTGTCTTTTTTCAATTGTACACGGAAGTTATGTATATTTCAACAAGAAGCGCTTTAACCAAAAATCATGTACAATTTCTCTAATTTCTACAAATAACCAAAAAGTGTACAATCTTATTATTGCGTACTCCACAGATGTGCCTAGTATTTGATTGCCTACACCATAAACTTGTTTAAGCCTTTAAAGCTTTTCCGAGTGCCATTTACGACTGTTATGCCTCATCCATACAGTGTGCAGATATTTTCAAACGATGGCAAACCACAACTAGTAAAATCTGTATCCATTTTATCAGGGCTGTGTGAATTACAGCAATTTTCGGAATAAATTTCCGAATTCCAGTAGTTAAACCATTCACATAACTCTTCTGGATTATCTGACCACTCGTTATACATACAGATGCAAAATGCTAAAACCGCCTGCAATCGACAATAAATCATTAAAGGCAATGACTAGTTGGCCACTGATATTTAGACGTAGAAGGCATCTGGTGTTGCTTGCATCCCCTTGTCACTAATACCCCACCCTGTAAACAAAGTTGCTACAGAAACTTCAGTCCGATGAACCTCCTTGTGCCAAAAGAAAAAGTCTGTACGGGGAGATGGAGTGTCCGCACAATGTACGAGATTGGAAAAGCTGCCCAGATCGCCAACGAGATGAAAAGATACGGAATCCAAGTACTGGTGAAAGCAGATGGAACGGTAATGGACTTACCAAATTGTCAACGGGAGAGTCAGTAATCTACTCCGGTCACCCAGAAGACAATCACACACACACCGAGGGCGTGGCTATCATAATGTCACCAACGGCAACGAAGGCCCTGATGCAATGGGAGGCTATCTCGTCCAAGATAATGACCGCCAGATTCAACTCCAAAGGAAGGAAAGTGTCAATTATACAATGTTATGCACCCACAAACAACGCAGCCCTCGAAAAGAAAGAAGAATTCCACAGACATCTACAGGCAACAATGGACAATACTCCAGCTGGTGACATTAAAATATTAATGGGAGACATGAACGCCAAGCTGAGACCGGACAACACAGGAAGGGAACTCATAATGGGTAGAGAAGCTCTCGGAGAAATGAATGAAAACGGAGAACTCTTCGCCAACTTCTGTGCCTTAACGAACTAGCGATTGGTGGCAGTCTATACAAACACAGAGATATCCGTAAGGGTACATGGGTGTCACCAGATGAGCAAACCAAAAACCAAATTGACTTCATCTCAATGGTGCTCAAGGAAGTGGAGGCGCTGCCTACTGGACACAAAAGTAAGAAGAGGAGTATACGTTGGCTCAGAAACCTGTCAATGTAGTTGAAGACTGAATGACCAATTCCTGGGTGTTCGCTCAAACCCAACTTCCCCATATTTTTCGCAGAGTCATCAATCCACCAGTCATCGTCTCATCCGTCGCTGTTCAGAAGGAAGATTAAAAAATTATCAGAAGTAATATCGTGATTTATTGTTGTAACATTTGTTCTTAAAACTTTCTCTGCAATAACAGTATTGCTGGTTATATGTTGGCGTTATAATAAAGAATTCTTGAATCGCCAAACAGTGTTTTGGTTTTTGCGTCCGTTAACACTAAGCGTTACTGAAAATCTTCGAGGAACAGCGTGAGGCATAGCGTAACAAGAGCTGGACGCTGATGGTTTATGAGACTTGACTGACAGTTTCTGATAGTTTCTAGATAGATTTCGTTCGTTTTTCCTGGTGCTTGCCAGTCTTCTTTGGAAAAGCATTATCTGGAACTTTTCTGGAATTTTGGTCAAGTTCAATGACGCCTGGGTCAAAGAAGGGACGAAGCGTCTTGGAAGAAAGCAGGAAAGTAAGTAATGCTGAGTTCCCTGTTATATGTAATGATGTGTGCGATGTTAAGCATGATAAGATTGATGTCCACGTTTCACCATCTGGGAATAATAGAAACTTTAAAATTCCTACATATGAACCTCGGTGTTTCGATGGAAACCCGGCTGACTATTTACAGTTTTTAAAGGGTTTTGAAATCATGTTGAGTAGTTTTATATTAAATAATGAAATGAAGTTGATGTATTTGATGAGGTACTGCGCTGGAGTTGCTTCAGGAGCTATACAGTGCCGTAAGTCCATGCCCCCAAACGAAGAATACTCTGGGCCTATGAGTATACTGCGTCAAAGATTCGGAAGACCTTCGATTATTGTAAGGAAATTATTCGAGGCCATTAAAGGTAACGGTAGTCAATTAGGAGGTGAATCCAAGGCACACTCTGACTTACAAGAATGCATTGATTTTGATGAACTGCATGAGTGATCTGAACTCAAGTTCAGTCCTAGAGGTAATAGCGACACGCCTACCTACTCGACTGCAAAGGAAGTGGGTGAAGATAAGCTCTCATATAGAGGATGAAGGTATTGAACCAAGGCTTGATGATATTCTGAAACTGGTAAAAGATAGTGTGAATCAATTTATGAGCAAGTTCGCCAGTATATTACATCCCACCCTAGAACAGAGCAGTCTGAGAGCAAAACGCAATCATTTATGACGAAAGGGTCTCAGAGAAGCAGATATCGAGAAAGCTTTATCGTGTCTAGTAATCCACATAAACCTAGTGAGTGTAACAGCTTACATGGGACATCCCCAACAGATAGGTTACAAGTTGCGACAGAAACACAGTTGTGTTTTACACACTTGCAAGAAGTGCATACAAAGGTGAACTGTGAATCAGTAAGCAACCTTTGCGGTAGGCTAAGTGTTAAATCAAGGTCTGACTCCGAATTGTGTGACGGTAGCGGTGCATTCAAGAAGCCTGTAGTTGCAACCAGTAAGCCATTGTTGAATAGAGTGTCACGGACGACGCTGCAGTTTCTTCAGGAGAAAAGAGTTACAGTTTAGAGTGCAGTTCTGACTCCATAAGTTTACAAGGTATTACTAGTCAGAGTGAAGGTATAAAACCTTTAAGGATTTGTGAGGAGGAACTAAAATTGTCTACTGTGGTTATTAAAAAGTTTGAAAATGAAGTCGAAAAGATAGATGACGGTAAATTGAATATTTGTGATAATGATCATGATGGTGCACTTGGTCTTTGGTTGATCATGAGGAGATGAGGGATATGCCCACTTCTATCGAGTTGAACAAGATTTCTGTTCAACTTAAACGTGAAGTAGAATTAAAGGCAGACTATGTGGTAGAGGCTATGTTTACTCGTGGGACCGTCAGTGTAAATGATCACTGTGTAGCCCACCTAAAGACAGATGATAATGTTCAACTGCAGCTAATCATAAAAGATGGCGGCGGTGGTGATCCAACGCTAGACAAAGTTCTAAAGGTCGAAAAACAACAGTTCCTCATGCGCCGCTAAGTTCGTCAACTGGTATCAATCAGTTGTCGTTGGTGTTGCCATCCACAATGAGAAGGACGCCCATCAACTCAAGTATCT